GTCAATGAGCGCATCCTCGCACAACTCACCCGGCAAAACCAAATCATGGATGAAGGGTTCTCGTCCCTAATCCACGCAACACACGCATTAGATCGAAGAGTGGAAGCAATCGAGGCCATGTTGGGCACACGCGGAGCACCCAGTGTAACACCCCCGATTTCCATACCAAATTAAACCTTAAACATGCAGATAATTCTAACCATAAAAGCATACACAGCGGAAGACTTAAGCACGAAATAGATGGAAAACATAGAGTGTTATGCCACGCTCACACAACGGTGAACGCACAGGCGTAAACATCTGCAACATAATCTATCAATCCCAAAAGTAAAGTCAACAACATAAGTCTAGAGTCTAAACAAAGGCACGCAGGCCCAAACCATCATAAGGAAAAGGGGATCTACTCTAACAGCCTCTAGACCGCGCTCTCATCTATTCAGCACCTGAAAGAAACACAGATATATATGGGATGACGCCCAGTCAGCGAATGATGCTGGTAACCCACCAATACATGTGAAATATCATATGTAGATAGTTTATATACAAAATCATTTGCGAAACGGGATATAGTATATATATATTTCAAAACCAAGATAGAGATCAACACAAGACTCTTTGCACTCACAATAAAGATAAGGGAACACATCCCAAGACAGTAAGAAGTACATCGACACACAAGAACGGCTCAAGGCATAATCTACCATCACACAGTAGATTAACACCCGACATGCATAACACAAGAGAATAAGGACACAACCATTGGCAACACATGCCTTTGTGACAACACATGTCACAAATAGAGAAATACACAACAACGGCTACACAAGCCTTCGTGACATCACCCATCACGAATTGAGATGCCTTCCTTATGCCCGGTTCCAACCTTATGGCTACCCCCAACCTTATGTCTAGTTCCAACCTTTACCTCCAGGACCCCTGTACAACCAAGTCCAACCTTTTCCCTCCGAGGACTGTCGTCCCCATCCGCCAACGACCGCCAACAAATCCACTAATAATTATCTGTTATTAATAATTTACTGGAAATAAAAAAAAAAAGTATATTAATAATTATCTAATTAATATGTATTAAAAAATAATTATTGCCTGGTAATAAAAATGACATGAAAATTAAGTCAATTGAAAAATGAAATGATAATTAATACTTGATTAAAATGGATTAGGATATATTACTGGAAATAAAGAAATATGTTATTAATAAATAACTAATTAATCTATCTACATATAATTAAAAGAAAAATCCTCCTAGCCAAATTCCCCCGCCCCCAAAACTTAGGGGCATTTCTGTAATATCTATGTATATATAATTAGTCTATATATAATTCATAAATATTCCGTATTTGACTAATTAGTTATGGTAATTAATTAATTAGTTTATAAAATTTATTCCGTGTGAAGTTTAGTTGACTAAAATTTAATTAATTATAAAAATTATATATTCATATCCGTGTATGTATAAGTAGTCTATATATATTTCATAAATATTCTGTATGTGACTAATTAGTTATGGTAATTAATTAATTAGTTTATAAAATTTATTCCGTGTGAAGTTTAGTTGACTAAAATTTAATTAATTATAAAATTTATATATTCATGTACTCCTTTTTAGTAAGCAAATGTTTAATAGAAATTAATTAAATATATAAATAAATGTAGTTTACGCTCTTATTATCATATACTTAAATATTTTATATTTTTTTTGCTCAAATAATTAATAATTAATATTTTTTAAATTTTTTTATTATTTAAATTTTGAATTATTTAACATTTTGACTAGGAGTTGACGGAGAATGGAGAATTCCCGTCCCCGCCTAATTCTCCGCTAGGACGGGGATGAGGAATATTTCCAATTTCCCGCCGGGGACGGGGACGAGATGGTGATGGGAACGGGGTCGCAGTGACGGGGACGGGGAGTATACTCCTCGCCCCGTTGTCATCCCAGAATATGTACTTAAATTGGAAAATGGTTACCAAATTATAAGAATAAGTAACCATTATAATTGTGAGAATAATGGAAACAAATTCTGCGTAATAAATGAGAAAATTCTTTTGAAATTTTGCGTAATTTTATAAGAAAATAATAATTTATTAATTATTATTTACATCAATCTATACTATTAATAAAATACAAATTATCCTCTTTAAATTTTCCGCCCAAACTAATAAAAAAATATTAATTAATTCGTAAAAAAATTTAATAAAGCTTAATTGGTAACAAAATTTTATATGAAAATTAACTAATATATAATGAATTGTTACCCCAAATTAAAGTCAATATGTACTTAAAAATGAAAAATAGTTAACAAATTTTGTGAACAATTAAACCATTATAATTGTGAGAATAATTAAAACAAATTCTGCGTAATAAATGAAAAAATTTCTTGAAAATATTGTACTACCATCATCATTCACAGGCGGAGCTAGGTATATGATTCAAAACAATCAAGATGAAATGACAATATGCAGGCACATCGATTATCCTCATCTGTTCATAACATTCACATGCAACCCGAAGTGGACTGAGATTGAGAGGTATGTTGCACAACGTGGGCTTAAAGCAGAGGATAGACCCGATATTGTTTGTCGTGTGTTTAAGATGAAACTTGATGCTATGATTGAAGATATCAAGACAGAAAAGCTGTTTGGCGACATATGTGGAGGTATTTGGTTATCATACATACTTTAATGTGCCCTAATTAAATTTAAATTTCATGTATAAAATTACTTTTTTAAAAATTTTAATTTTCTGCACAGTTATCTACACAATTGAATTTTAAAAAAAAAAAAAAGATGTCTCCCTCACGCGCACATATTGTTATTTGCCAAAAGAATGAATCGGGCACATTCCACACTGGAAGTTGATGCCTTGATTTTTGCTGAGATTCCAGACCAAGATGCGGACAATAAGTACAATGACGTAGTTAGCGAATTTATGTTGCAAGGACCGTGTGGACACTCCGGAAGAATTCGTCATGCATGGTAAATGGTAAATGTTCAAAGTATTTCCCCAAAAAATATGTTAGTCAGACGATTCTGGATAAAGATGGTTACCTAATTTACAGAAGGCGTGACAATGGACACACAAAATAATATTGAAGTGTGGACCTGATCCAATTACAACTATAGTTGAAAGCATCTTCCCAACCGCGAAGTATGGAATGCTAGAAGAGTCGCACCTAGAAGGACGAGCGATCCTCTCACCGACTTTAGATGTTGTTGATCAAATTAATCAGTATATGTGTGACATGAACACTGCAGAAGGTCAGACGTATTTAAACGGTGACTCTTTGTGTAAGGTAGAATCAGATAGATGGTGATAATCTCTCACAAGTACACACTCTTGAATTTTTAAATAGATTGAGATTGTCTGGACTTCCTAATCATTCATTGACAATAAAGGTTGGTGCACTTGTTATGTTACTGCGAAACATAGACCACTCTCTTGGTCTTTGCAACGGTACGCGCCTCATCGTTACAAGATTGGCGGATCATATTGTCGAAGCAAGAATAGTTAATGGAACGCAGCAAGGAAACAAAGTTCTTATACCACAAATGTCTCTCACCCCTTCTAATACGAGATTGTCATTCAAGTTCCAGCGTAAACAATTCCCGTTGATGCTAGCATATGCAATGACTATCAACAAAAGTCAGGGTTAAACACTAACTCACGTTGGCTTATTGTTGAAAAAATCAGTCTTTAATCACTGTCAATTGTACGTGACTTTTTCCCGAGTCACTCATCCTAATGGCCTTAAGGTTTTAGCTCTAGACGAGGATGGACAAACTTCTGTGAGTACTACTAATGTCGTCTACAAAGAGATTTTCAACAATGTCTAATTCAAAACAGTTATATTATGTATACTTCTTGCACAAATATAACAAAATTGTTACATATCTACATATTACGTATATATTCCGTTACAAAAATTTCTATAGCTAAATTACTACACATAAAGATAAAGAGACCAATTAATTCAATTCCGAAACATTCATACAAACCTTCAACGCTAAAATTTGCACTATCGAATATGAACCAAATTATAATTCATATATTATAACGAATACATTCCGTGCATCGTACGGGTGCAAATACTAGTTGAAGAGGAATAAAAAAATAAAGAGGAAGCGCACCCAAGCAACATTCAAAAACAGGTCTTGAGGGTTAGCATATTACTGTTCACCTGCATAATTTCAAATTCTCCAAATGGAGAAGTCAGACATTGGCAATTTATATCCTACACCATGGCGCGCGTTGCACTGTGCGCCCAGATGCAAAACGACGTCGTTTTAATTAATTTTTTTTTTTTGAAATTTCCCGCCCCAGTGAATGGCAGTAATTTTTTCTTTAAAAAAAACTCGTTGTTCAAAAATGTACATAATGTTATACTAGAATACACATAATTGTATACATGAATGTACATAATTATATAACAAAATATACACTCTTTTTAAAAGATAATACACATAATCTAACATAATACATAATAAACATAAACTTTTAACATAATACACATCAACTCTTAACATAATACACACAAATTTTCTGATTCGGATGTACATAATTGTATAAAAAGAATGTACATAATTGTATAAAAAATGTACATAACTGTATGAACAAATACACATAATTGTGTGAACAAATACACATAATCGCAGCAACTTCCTACCGCGCCTCCCAAAACGACGTCGTTTTGGGAGGCACGCGGCGCATAGTGCTATGCGTGCCGTGGTGTAGGGTATAACGATTGTCAGACATTGGTTTCTCCAAAACTCTATAGAAACGGAAGAATGGAGATGGAAAATACATTTAGAAAAAGAAATTTAGTAAACAACTTCTCTAATTTTTATTTTTGACACTTCTCAATTTTTTCATTTTCCAAAAAAATTATCCATTTTGAAAAACGAGCTATAAACGTTGACTATAAAATCAGACCTTTTTTCTAAATTCAGAATTAGAACCAATGGGTTTCAAACTAGAACCATTCATACGGTTTCAATTTCAGTTCAATTACTACAGTTGCGAATTCAGATCGAATCGATCGGTTCGACTTTGATCATCCTTGCCAACAATTAGCTCTTCTCAGAGACTCAGACTGCAATACCAGAACTTAAGACTACACTTGTACATAATCTTACTAGCAAATTGAAGATTGGAATTGAGAGATAGATGGCTTGTGTTGCTTTATCTTCTCTCATTGGAAGCATTGAGATTGAGTTTCTACAACCCACCCCAAGGGTGAGTGTGTCTCCTCATGATCAACTACCAATCATTTCATTACTTGCAAATCTGTATTCTTTGCAAGCCCTTCTCCAGAAGGAATCCAGTGGTGAAGGTGATGGTGATGCAATCAGAGTTAGGGATTTGGAAATCCAAATCAGAGACTTTGCACTCAAATCTGAAGATCACATCCAAATACAACTCAGCAACATCCTTCTCGCTCAACACACAGGGATATGCCCTAAAAACAAAATGAAGATCTCGGGACAGCCCAGTGATTTAATGCGTTTTAGGGCAACACACGAACTGCATCAAATTTTGCGAGGAGCAGCAAAAAATTCAACAGCGTTGTTGAAGATTATAACCACAGGAAAAGCGTTGTGTGGGAGTGAGAGAGAGATGGCTAGTGCTGCTTTAACTATTCTCATCACAAAATTTAAGTATTACATTTTTCAACACTTCCCAACGATGTATCTTCGTGATGAAGCAGCAATGAAATCTTCCTTGTGGAAGCTTGATTCTCTGCAATCCTTTTTATTGCGGAGGAAATCCAATTGTGGTGCTGCAATAAAAATCAGAGACTTCGCACTCAAAGCCGAAAATGACATCGAAATACAGCTAAGCAACTTTCTTCTATCCGAAGACACTGAGCACGAAGAAGAAGCTTCCCAGGAACTCCGTCAAACCTTGCAAGAAGTTGTAGAAATTGCAGCAGAGATTATCGACAAAGAAGAACAGCAGCTATTAGCAGAGTATTTGAAGATAGTCAGAGGTAGCAGAAGCAATGAAGTTGATGATGAGGCAAATGAAACTCAACCATTAAAACATGCCGATGCTGATGCTTCCAAGTCTGCCAATGTTGTTGAGTCTGATGGTGATGGATCCTCCTCCTCGCATGGCTTTCTAAAGCCTGAGGGCAGAATGGTTGGCCGTCAACATGATTGTACAGTGATAAAGGACCAACTCTTGTCTTCCCGTTTTGGAGTAAAGATAATCTCAGTTGTTGGCATGGTGGGTATTGGAAAGACTACTGTAGCAAGAAATGTGTATGAAGATCCATCAGTTGCATCCCATTTCGATGTAAGAGCTTGGGTTACTATACCTCAACACTACAACAAGAGCAGAATGCTAAGTGACCTTCTTCAGTCAATTATGGCAGCGGAGCCAAATGTAATTAAAAAGAGAGGCACTTCAGATGAACTAGGTATAGAAATGCAAGTACGCAAACGCTTTCTTGGTAGGAGGTATTTACTTGTTTTGGACAACACTTTGGGCCATCATCAAGCTTGGAATGACATCAGAGAGTGTGTTTCTAATGACATAGGTGGAAGTTGCATATTACAAACCACTAGCAGGTTCAACCGACGTTGCAGCTGGAATGAATATATCCATAAGATGACTTTGCTAGATCCAAAAGAAAGTTGGGAACTATTTTGTAGTGTCCTTTCTATTGAAGAGCACTTGGCCCCTAAAATTGAAAAAATTAGGAACCATGTTGTGGAGAAATGTGATGGATTACCCCAGTTAATTGTTGAAGTTGCCAAGCGTTTATCTAAATGCAACAATATAGAAGAGGGATGGAAGAAGATTGAAAAGGAATTAGAGTCATTGGGAATTCTAGATCGCAATACACTCTTTTTCAGTTACTATCCATTGCCACATCATTTAAAAATTTGCTTTCTATATTTTGGAGTCTTCCCAAAACGTAATAGAATTCTAGTTACAATGCTTATAAGGCTGTGGATCGCTGAGGGATTTGTGATGAAGCCATTGGAACATAGGGAGTTAGAGGATCAAGCTTATGAGTATTTACTTGAGCTTATTGATAGAAGCCTTATCTTAATTGAAAATCAAAGTTTTGATGGAAAAATCAAGACGTGTAGAATGCATAGTGCTTTGCATAGTTTCTGTGTAGTAGAAGCTCAAAAAGAAGGTATTTTTTGTGCATTAAATACTAAGCAACATTCAGGATTGTCATTGGATGCATTTGCAAATTCTTGTCGTTGGCTAAGTTTATATTCTCACAGTTTTGACTATTATGTTCTCTTTTCTACAAATATCCCTCGCTCCATTTTCATCTTTCTTGAAAATCCTGAAAACTTTGTTCGCCTCAAGCTGCTAAGAGTTTTGGCTTTTGATACTTCTATATCACTTCAAAGAGTGCCTGTGCAATTAGGGGATTTAGTTTTTCTAAGATACCTATCCATAACACAATGGTTCGAGGATTTGGATGATGTAGTATCAAATAATCCAAATTTAGAGACACTTGTTGTTTCCGGTAATGGAGCACCAACTGTCCATTTGCCATCTAGTATTTGGAAGCCACCACACTTAAGGCATCTCGAACTTGGCAATTCATATATGGTAGATCCTCCAAGTGCAGATAAAAAGAATTTACAAACATTATCTTGGGTGGTGAGGCCCCTTCATTGCATTAAAAAGACGTATAGCAGGTTCCCTAACATAAAAAATCTGAAAATTTTCTTGAAGGATGACATAGAGCCCTATCACATTGGAGGAACTTGCAGCAATCCTATTATATTGGATGATTTTGACTATTTGGAAGGGCTTGAGAAGCTTAGCATTTCGGTTTCTATTGGTTGCAATGCAGCCCTTCCAAAACAGTGTATGTATCCTACAGGATTGAAGAAGTTGAAGTTGAGTGGGACTAATATTTCTGAGAGGGATTTAAATGTAATTGCCATGTTACCCAAACTTATGGTGCTCAAGTTGGAAAATGCCTTCCATGGAACAATATGGAATGTAGTAGCTCCAGGAGGATTTCGTCAATTAATATTCTTGCTCCTTGAAGCTAAAGAACTCAAGCAGTGGGTAGTTAGCTTCGGGTGTAACTTTTGGAGGCTCAAACACTTAGTCTTAAGATCTTGTAATTGTTTGAAACAGATGCCAAAGGATTTTAAAGGTTACAACTTGCAGTCAATTGAGTTGGAGGGGTGTCACTCTTCCCTTGTCGCTTCTGCCAAGCATTTACAACAGAAGAGTAGATTAAAAAATCTTAAGGTTAGAAGCTAAAGCCTAAAGCGTGTTTCATTCTTAATTTTTATTTCTTTTCTATTCAATGCTGATTTTTTTTTATTTATTTTTTATTTTTTACAAAATCAGTTATTATTTTATTTTTCTAATCTCATTTTGTTTTCTGCCTTATTTTTCACAGATCAAAATTCTGGACCCTAAATTTGATGAATACTGAATATACATACAGAAATGCCCATGTAAGATGAGTTGGGCAGCCTCATAGTATAATCTGTTAGAATATGGTATGTCATATGTGTTAGGTTACAAGTGCTGATTTTTTAATTGTGTTATTTTTGCATTTTCTAGTATTGCATCCCACTTTATTTTATTTTATCCAAGTATTGCTTAACCTGGTTTTATAAACAATAAATAGCTCGTTTAGTTGCTTTCTTTGGTTAAAAGTTAATGATTCCTCATGAATGCAATAAACTTACTACGACATCATTATGATTACTACTGCAGAGTACCCAGAAGTTGGTAATAGATGGTACTGAAACATGGGCTCAAGAGCTTTCTGTCAAAAAGACACTGGTTGACTTTTTATCACCAAATATTGTGAAAGAGATGTATGCTGATGTTTTGTCTTTTTGAAGATTTTGTGTTGGTGGCTGGGGCAAGCTGCCAAGAAGGTAAATTCATATTTCGTATGGTGCCTATATGTGATGATTAATACACTACTTTACATCTCTGTATCTGTTTCTTTTCTGTTTTGCATTTAATCCCAAGTACAAATTTTAATATGCTTTTGCAGATTGGCATATGCTAATTGAATACGTTTTTGAAAATTTTTGAAGCTATGAAGCTGTTAGTCTCAAGTATTGAAGATCTACAGGTAAGGGGAATTGCTTGGTTATGTTCCGTCTAAACTTGACTGATTAATATTGATTTGCAAGGCTGTTTATAATTCTAAAAACTTCTTCATGATATTGATTACATCCATTTCATGTATTTTGTAAGGTATTGAATGGAAGATTTTACAGTGATCTTGGTTTCTAAGAGAGGGCTTTCAAATCCTGTAGTTAGTCTTTGTGTGATTTTTTCCTTTTTCTACCATTTTCTTTTAAGCTACTGAATGCTCTATACTAGAGATGCATCATGTTCTTGAAATTGCTTGCAGAACCTGCAAAAATCGTATTCTTTAAAGAGGTTGCAGAATAAGCATGAAATTATTTGAAGCTAAATTGATAAGGATTACTCTTTCTGTTAGGAAAAAATCACCTAGAATAAATGAATGAATCATTCAATTTGCCAACAACTGAGAGAATGAAATAAAAAATGGAGAAGCTGTATTTCTCTAGAATCACAATATGAAATTATCTCGCAAAACTTGCACCTCTACAGTTGCTAACAACTCTGCAATTTGTTTGTTGCATTCTTTTCAGTGTTAACAGGGTAGTGAGGAGAGTTTGAAAAGGTTTATCAGTGACTTGGAGAATGCCTTCTGTGGAGAAGTACAGGAAGTAGCTAAACGAGAATTATGTAGACTAAGATTCTTGCTTCTTAAAGCTAATAAACTCAAGTATTGCACAGGCTGGCGGTGGTGATTTCCCATGTCTTGAGTGTTTAGTCTAGAGATGTTTATTGTTTGGATAATTAAAGTTCCCTTTGTGTTTAACAAAAAGTTTGAACTTGTGGTCAATTAAGTTGCACGGTGTGGCCCTTCCGTCGTTGCTTTTGCTAAGCAGATTTGAGATTGACAAGTTGAAATGGGGAACTGCATTTTTGAGGTTTGAAGGTACAGAACATGATCCATTCTTGATTACTTAGCTTGATTCTTTTCTGTTCCTTATGGATGCTAACTTTGTTTACAAACTAGTCATTATTTCTTTTTGGAATAAGGGTCAAATAGGCCATCGAACTGCACACGTAATGCAATTAGGCCACTGAACCTAAAAAACCAACAATTGGGTCCCTAAACTAACCAATTTCAAACAATTCTTTCAATTTGTAGGTTTCCCACAGGTCAACAGGTCATCCTCCCAAATTAATTATTTTTAAAAAAAATAAAGTTTAAAAATTAATTATTTAAATTAAAAAAAAAAAAAAAAAAAAAAAAAAAACAGAATTCTGCCGGAGACGAACTGT